AGAGGAGGTGTCGTCTCCAGTCTAGACAAGGGCGCTAATAACGCCCATAAAAGGCGGCCTCTCCAGAGATGCTCTGGCAACTCCGCTCCCGCGCGCCTGCCGCTGGCCGCTTTATCCACCTCCCCCCGCCCCGCCCTCCTCTGATACCTTGGCGAGGCCGGCGCACGGCCTTGGAGAGGGGGAATCCAGAAGGCTTCTAGAGGTTGAGAACTCCTATCCCTCACCCTTATGAACCTCTTCTGTCTCCAAAGGTAAGTGGACCCTCGTTCCTGTCCGCGCTCTCCCAGCCCAGCGAGCCCCGGAGTTGGTAGTCCATTCCCCACCCCCAACCGCCTCCAGGGCCCGTTGCTCCCACCCCAATCTGCCCGAGCCCCCCTCCTCTGCCCGGAACTGGGGCCCCGGGCTTGGAAAGCAGTTGTATAGCGGTGCTGAGCAGACCCTAAGCAGATCTCAGCTCCTCCCCAGAGCTGGGCCTGGCCAGTGGACAGGGTCAAAGCCAGAAAAGGACGCCGAGGAGCGAGGGCACACCGGGTAGTCCTCACCCCCTGACCCAGTTTAGAGGTCGGTGGAGACGTCTCACTGTTGCATTGCAGGCGTCTGTGGGTGTGGCATTTGATGCGATTTTTTTTTTTAACTTGGTTCCCACACCTTGCCTGACACTCAGTAATTCACTAGGTGGAGGAGATCCTCTGCTGGTGGAGGGGGAAAATGTCAGAGCTGCAGCCTTATTTAACTGTTAGCGCGCCACCGAAGGAAAAGACAAAACGGGGGAAGGTGGTCCATTTAGGGATGCTCATATTGGGGTGGAGAGATGGCCTCCCAGATGTCCTTGCCTGGGGGCTCTCACCTCCCCCGCATTTTCTGAGAGGCAATCGGGCTGGGATCTTTTGGAGACATAGGACTAGAGAAGCCGCGGGAAAACTGGAGGAGGTAGGGGCTCGGTTGGCCCCAGGCTACTTGTCGGAGCCTAAAAGCCTGACTGGGCTCTGTCCTCCAGGCTGCAAATCCCTAGAAAGCAGCACCTGGGGAAGGGATTTCCCAATCTGCTCCTTACTTCCCAGGCACCCGCAGGGAGGGCTGGGAGCCAGGTGGGCTCCAATCCCTGAAGGAGCTTGGAAACCACGAAATAGGAGACTGAGCTCCCTATTCTACCCCCTACCCTTGTTTGAACCCGACAAAAGTCAGGTCCCAAACCCAAGTTGCTCCAAAGAGGCAAGACAGAGAGGGCTACAGGGTTGGGGGGGCAGGCCCTCCCACTCAGCCCCCCTTTCATCTTCCCTTCTCTCCGCGGGCCAAACCCCTGCTCACACCCCTTCTGGGGCTGAGGCCCGGCCTAATTTGCATACAAGGCAGAACCGCTTTCTGCAAACTAGACAGTGACCTTGAACTGGGCCCCTGCGGCCTCTGGACAGACCATGGGTAAGGCAGTACTGCGCGAAATCACTCCCGACCATGGGTCTGCGGGAGAGCCAGAACGCAGTCGCTCACAGCCGATTCCCCGCGGCCTAAACCTCCAGCAGCCGCGTTGCCTCTGCCACCAGAATCAGCGTAGATTTTATAATTAACTCCTTTCGCCGGGCTCAGCCGCAGTGGAGGCTGCTAGGATGCAGGAGGGATGGAGGCACAGAGAAGGTGTGAGTGAGGCGGCGTTGCATCCAGCTGGAGGAAGAGCTGAGGGACGCAGGCTGCTTTGGTCTTTAAGGAAAACCTTGGACCGCATCCTTGCCTTCAGCTTTAATTAACCCTGAGTTAATGAGCGAGGCTTAGTCGAGCCTGGCCAGCTGCGGCGGGAGCCAGTGGCCCAGGGGCCAGCAGGCAGGCCACCGCTCTAGCCTTGTGATTTGATAAATGTGAGGGAGAGTTCGCACCAGTCGCTCCGCGGTTCGGGTGCCTCGGCCCGACCACCTATAGTTTTGCGCGTGGTCAGCGAAATGTCGGCGGGTTAAGCCCGGCTGGAGTCCCTCCCAGTCTCCTCACCCAGTCCCAGACTGCTTCCCGCGAGCAGCTCTCGCCGAGGCTGGATTTAGATTTGAAGGATCTCACCCGAGCCTCCCGCCGGTCCCGGGGACCCAGGTTGGGAGCGGCATTTTTGTCTGAGCCCGATTAAAAAAATGGGTGCCTGAGCTGCGTGTGTCGCGGGTTTCCTTAACCGCAAACAGCCTCGGTGGTGCACCGGAAGGCTGGACGCTTAGATTACCTGGGTCCTTGCCAGGGTCCTGAAAACCCCTAGGTTCCCAGTGGGTCTCAGGGAGCAGGACACTAGGGATGCGAATTTTGCTAGTGGTTGTCGGCAGCTCTCCTTGAGAGGAATCAGGGTCAGCTACAGAGAAGGAAGAGGGGTTTGTGCGTGCTTCTTTGCCCGCAGAGCCCAAAACCTGGGGAAAATAGCCCCCTTTGATGGGGCTAAATCAGGCTAGAAGAAACGCATGTCTGGAAGAAGGAAGCCTTCACCCAATCTTCATTTCTCCTGTGTTGCATCCGCCGCCCTGTGGCCACTGCTCCTCGCGCTCTGCGGCCTGGCTCCGGAGGGCAGCGAGCAGAGCTCCCGGCCTGGGATTTGCCTGCTGGGGTGGAGGGAATGGGGAGAGGCTGAGATCTTCCTCTCGGGGTCCCTTTTCTAGGAGATTGGAATTATCTAGGAAGGGAAAAGAGAACGAGGAGAATACTCCACCCCACAAAGGGTAGTGATTATTTGGCAAAGTCCAGCTCGGCATCCCTCACACCAACAATAGCGGCTGAGCGCAGAGGCCTGGAGAGCCTGGGCGGAGACCTAGCTGCCCGCACGATGTTCTGATTGAAATCATCAGCAATATTAAAGTCACACCCTGTTTACCTTTATGACCAAAATAACCCTCAAATAAAATGTTTTTTAAAAACTGAAATTTCAATGGCGCTCATCAATACGGCTCGAGAAGGGGAAATAAGATGTTACAGATGCTGTGACCTGGAATTTGCAGCTGAGGGATGTTCCTCTCCGCAGCCTCGAAGCCCCTTATCAATTAGTCACAAAAAGGCCAATCCAGGCTGAGTCTCCTGCTCATTCCTTGGCGCCACCGGCTCTAACCGAAGGTGACCGCTTCGGGTTTGCAGCCCATAGCTTGCCCTAAGTTCCGACAAGTGGGCCTAACGCGGGGCGGCTTCTGGGGGCGGGAGGGGCCAGGCCAGGCCGGGCAGCTAGGCGAGCAGGGGCGGGGAAGGGGAACCGGCCCTGCAGGGCGAGAGGCAGGCACCGAGCTGCGAGCTTCGAACTGCTCCGGGCAGGGCGGCGCCCGCGGGGACACATTTCTGTCGGAGTGAGCAGCTACGGTTTGGGATATGAAATCGCCCGGGGAGCGGTGGAATTCAAAGAATCTGCGTTTCTCTCTGCCGCGTCCTGCAGAGAAGAGAGGGGAGGGAGAGGAAAAAAAAGGGAGAATCTTCTCTGCTTGGATCTGCTTTTGTAGCTTCGGCTTATTCTCAGGCTTTCTCTGATATTTAACTTTCACCTAAATGGGTTTGTTTTGCGTTCTCTCCGACTCTCTGTCTCCAATTTTCTTTCAATCTTCTGGTATTTTTTCGTATTTAGACGTTTACTGAACTATTTATCCAAACCTGTATTACTTAAGCCGTGCATTGGTTAGGAGCTCGAAAAATCACATGGAAATTCGAGTGTTTTCTCTATTAGACCCCAAAAGGATACATCTGGTTTGGGGGAGTTTTATTTTGTCTTTCTTTTTAATCCGCTTGGCTGTGTTCTGTGGACCTAGTTGAGATCGGATTGTGGTTTTGCAGATGTTGATTATCTCACCAATAGCCAGCATTGCTTCTCGGCCTTCTCTGGAGGGAGCTTCTGAGTTTTCACCATAAATATAATTTCACCCCCCAATAAGATAATTCTTCAAGGTTTTTCCCCCTCAATCCCAGCCCCCTCAGGAGGCAACCTATTGCGGGCCTCTGCACTGCTATCTGATGGTCCCAGGAGAAGGCTGGGCCGGGTCTGGGGTGCGGATGTCTCCTCCGCAGTGAGAATTAGGCCCCTGTCAGGCCAGTTAAGCCCTATTAGGGGGTCCAAAGATTTCCGCTGCAAAGACTCCAGGAGGCCCCCAGAAGCTCCTCGGTCCCCCGGAAATGACAGCAGAAGAGTAGTTCTAGCCCCCAGATTTTCAGGAGCAGGCAGGCAGGTCCATGCGGAGCTAGGCACCTCCTTTTGCTGCATTCTCTGCCTCTCTTTCGCATCCTTCCTCTAGCCGTGAGTGGAGGTGTGAGGCTGGGTGGCTCCCGGTTCCAGCGGAAAACCCGGCATTATCAGTTATCCTTGAGTACTGGGGAAGAAGACTCCAAATGTCTCTACAAATTCCTGGGGATAAAGAGCTGATAAAGAAGCGTGCAGCAGCAGCTGGGGCTGGGAGAGATAACGGCAGGGAAACCTGTCCTTACCCCCACTTCGCCTCTACTGTAAATAAACCCCGAGCCAAAGGGCTCATCCGTCTCCTTAAACAGCCAGTAAACTTTATATGACACAATATCTAATAGTAATTTATTGGGGAGATATTGTAAATTCCAACGGTTTTAGTTAGTAAAGAAACTAATTAAAGAGGGACGGGCTGTGCTTGGCCAGCTGTTGGTGATAAGATAATACATGGGGTGGGGGGTGCAGGTTATAGGGGTGTATATATGCGGGCATTTTTTTGGTGTGTGTATGTTTTTTTCCTCTCTTGCTCCGTGTTGGGCAATTGCTTTACTCTCTGCGTTAGATTATATATATATTTTTTTTTTTAAAAAAAATCAGAATTCAGCAAATAAACCTGCCTCCGCCCTTTGTTCCCCCACTAACCCCCAGGATTGGGGAAGGGGGAAGTTGGAGTTGGTGCGGGATGGTAGGGGGGATCCGTTGTCCCCACCCCTCCCCCTGGCGGCTGCGCCCACGTGAGCGGGGCGGCCAATGGGTGGCCGGTGCAGGTTTAACTATGTTTAATGTCAGATAGCAATAAAGTAGAAGCTGCCGGTCGGGCCCCGCGGAAATGGGCGAGCATAATCTCCTGAATCCCGGGTTTGTGGGGCCTCTGGTAAACATCCACACGGGAGACACCTTCTACTTTCCCAACTTCCGCGCGTCCGGGGCGCAGCTTCCCGGGCTTCCTTCGCTGTCCTACCCACGCCGCGACAACGTATGCTCCCTGCCCTGGCCGTCGGCGGAGCCGTGCAATGGCTACCCGCAGCCCTACCTCGGCAGCCCAGTGTCTCTCAACCCTCCCTTCGGCCGCACGTGCGAGCTGGCGCGCGTGGAGGACAGCAAGGGTTACTACCGCGAGCCGTGCGCCGAGGGTGGCGGCGGGGGCCTGAAGCGTGAGGAGCGCGGGCGCGACCCGGGAGCCGGGCCCGGGGCAGCGCTGCTCCCGCTGGAGCCGTCGGGGCCGCCTGCGCTCGGCTTCAAGTACGACTACGCGGCGGGCGGTGGCGGTGGCGACGGCGGCGCAGGACCCCCGCACGACCCGCCCTCCTGCCAGTCGCTGGAATCCGACTCCAGTTCGTCCCTGCTCAACGAGGGCAACAAGGGCGCCGGCGCAGGCGACCCCGGCAGCTTGGTGTCGCCGTTGAACCCCGGCGGCGGGCTCTCGGCCAGCGGTAAGGACCCCGGCCACTCACGCGGCGGATTCAAACCCGACATCTTCCCAGGGCGGGCAGGGCAGGACTGAGCTAGGGATGCCTGGGGTAACAGAATGTGTGGCGAGGAAGAGCTTCTTTTAAAATGAAGTGCGGGTGGGGGGAGCCTATAAACATGTAAATACCCCCATAAAATAACTAGAGAGAGTTCCTTTTTCGTCCGCCCGCGGCTGGAGGCGGCAGGGATTCCGGAGTTAGGGGATCCTGACGGGGACTCCCCAGGCCTGGGGGTGAGGAGGTAGGGACAGAAAGCCTGGCTCTAGTTCTGCCAGGCGCCTCTCCCTCCACCTTCCCACAGACCCCCGTTACTTACATTTCAAAAGAAATGCCAGTGGACAAATTTACTCTGCCACTCGCCCATGTCTGTTCTAACTGATCCGGGATCCAATGCTGAAGGATGTGAGAGGAATGGACCAGGAAATAGGGAAGAAGAAAATTGGGGAGAGGTTTGGGGAGAAAGAAGGGGCAGGGACATAGAAGGGTCATGAATACTGCAGCAGGAGGTAGGGTTGAGGAGGTAAGGGCAAGGAATGAAAGAAAAAAAGAGTAAAGAAGGTGGGGGAGTTGGTGGGGATGGGGGTCTGGGTAGAAGAGGGGATTCACATGACTGGCGGCAAACAGAAGGCAGAGAAAGGGCCTGGAGTCCAGGCGTGAGGCCAAGGTGAAAGGGTCTGGGGAAGGGCCGAGGGCACTGGACTGGTCACCCTTTGATCCTCTGGCCAACCCCTGCCATTCATCTCCACCCAGGCGCGCCCTGGTACCCGATCCACAGCCGCTCTCGGAAGAAGCGCAAGCCCTATTCGAAGTTGCAACTGGCAGAGCTGGAGGGCGAGTTTCTGGTCAACGAGTTCATCACACGCCAGCGCCGGAGGGAACTCTCAGACCGCTTGAATCTTAGTGACCAGCAGGTCAAGATCTGGTTTCAGAACCGGAGAATGAAAAAGAAAAGACTTCTGTTGAGGGAGCAAGCTCTCTCCTTCTTTTAGCGGGCAGGACACGGGCGCCAGCCCCAGACTGAGCCTGTCCTTGGCAAAGAGCAAAAGAGGGGGCCGCCTAGAACACAGTCCCCGCTTAGAACGCCAGACGTCTCTGGCAGGCCCTCCCTGGACATCCTCTTGTCTGTTTTGTTCGTGGTTCCCTCCCATACACACCCAAAACACCCTGCCAGGTCCCAGAGAGAAGGGAAGAAACCTAGCCAGGGAGAGCCGAAGCCCGCAGCTGCCCGCGGTTGGCAGGGCCAGGAAGGCTGAGGTGCTACGGGCTGGTTTATTTGAGGCGGGACTGGGGCGCTGCACCTCCGCTGGGGATCTGGAGAAGCCGCGGCCCAGATGTCCCCTTCCTCTACTTCCCTTCCATGGTCTTAATTCTCTTTGCCTGCAGGAGCAGACAGCAGGGTCAGTGGAACCAAGGCACCCCGACCTCACAGTCGGTGGGGTTAGAAGAGGCTGGGAGTAGAGAGGAGGGTGGAGGGTCAGCAGAGAGAGCTGAGGGGGTCAAGTGGCTCTGGCAGGGCTGGAGGAAGTGGAGAATCAAGGAGGAAGTGTGGTTTGTGAGAAAATGATCAGCAAGACCCGGAGCCTGCTTGGGTCTGGGTTCCCCAGGACATCCAGTGGGCTGAAGCTTGAGCGTTTGGCTGGCTGGGCTGTGGACAAGGACTATCAGCTTCATGTTCCCTCTAGGACCAGAACAGTGTCCTGGTCCCCAGCCCTCTCCTGAGCCCCCTGCCCGCACCGGGTGAACATCTGTTCACAGGTGTGCTGCCATCCACTCTTTCCTTGCCTGTGGCGGCTGCGGGCCTGATGCAGCAAGCAGGGACCTGAGAGCCCAGAGGACACAGCCTCAGGTTCAGTAGCCACCCCACCTGGCTCTCCAGAAAGAAAGTCCAAGAGGCTGTAGATGGGGCTACAGAGCACCACACTGATTGGCCGGGCGAGTTTCTGGCAGCCACAGCAGAGGCCTCTGATTCTCCCTTCCCGGCTGGCGTTCATGGTCATGGCCGCTGGAGGCTGGACCAGAGTAATTTATGAGGCGGGAGGAGAATTCGCCCTTAAAGGGGCTACCAGTCATTGAGGCCCCACTCAGCCCCAGTTTCCCAGGCTGTGACAATGAAGGAGGGGGGCGCTGCAGCCCCCCACCCAACTCCCTTCTCTTCCCCGCCCACCCCCCCAACATTGCCCTTTGTCTTCAGACTGGCTGCCTCTGCCTCCTGGCCCGCAAACCTCCACAACCTAGCACATGGACCAGAGCAGAGGGAGGGGCACAGCCCTAGAACCCATTGGAGGTCTGAGAATGGCTTCTCTGAGTGGGAAGGCTTTTCATCCAGACTCCTTCAGACCCCAGCCCCAGTCCAGTAGATGCTGGGCTGGCTTCAGAGAAAGGAGCAGTGAGAGAACCATCAACCTTTCTGCACCTCATTTTTATCCTTCTCTCCAAGTGTCCCCCAGCCTCCCATCTGCTGTCCCGCCCTTTCCAGGAGAAAGAGGGGTGAGAAGCAGGGCACTGATGGGAATTAACTGCAGCCTGGACAGTGTGAAACTGGCCTGCTGACTTGGAGGGTTTCCCATATGGGGAGAGTCTCCTCTAACAAACTCTCCAAGGGCAATCCACCGAGCTTTTTACTCTCCCACCAGCACAGAGCTTCTGTACAGGCAGAGGCAAAGGCAAACATATACACACAGCTGAGCCCAGCACAGCACTGGGCCCACCCCACCCTCCCTAGTGCACTTGCAAGCAGGCAGCCTCATAGTCCCCACATGGCCCAGCAGAGTGGAGATACAATCACATGCCTTCATCCCCCGCTAGATATCTGACACCTGACAATTTCCCAGCCACACATACTTGTTTCACCCATGTACAAGTTCCCCCAAATTACCACCACTCCAGCTGTCTGCAGTCTCCTGTGGGCTTCCCCTGGGCATGAAGCATTCCCCACCTTTCCTGGTCACCCACTGTACCCCTTTTATGCAGCCCTTCCTGTGACCTCTGGGCTCTAGGGTGCTGGATTTGAGCTCTACCACTCCAAACTAACCTGATTCCCAACCTAATAGAGAAGAGAGACCAGAACACTCCAAAAGGAGTGAGGGGACAAAGATATGCAATATTCTCTTTCCATGTGCTTTAAACTTGATTTCTGTGAGCTTCTCTGTCAATCTGTGTCTTGTTCTCTGTGTCTGTCGCTGGTACCTAGTGTAGTCCTCGTGGATAGTTGCCCTTCCCCTAGCTGCCTCCCCAGCTCTCTGTAGTGTACTCTTCTATTCAAACATCTGTCTTTAGCACGTTTTCCCTTTATATAGTCCTTGTACAGAGTTGCTTCATCATATTAATATTGATAATAATAATAATTAAAACATGAATTATGATTATGTGATTTTTTTCAAAACAAAAGTTCTACCCCAAAATAATGGGAGTCCCAGCCTTCTAGCTGTTCTCCACTCTATTTTCTCCAGCTCAGGTGAATAATAAAAATAATAAATGTATAATAATAATACAGGAAGAGTGGTTGCAGGGGCAACAAAAAATGTATAAGCAACCAAGATCTGTTGATGAGCTACCATCTCCAGTCCCAAGCAGTTATAGCAGAGAGAAAACTGGGCGGTAGTAGACTTGGGGGAGGAGAAGGAGCTTTGAGGAGTCATGGGGCCATAAAAATAATGTGGACAGCCTAAAGGAGGTTGAAACCAGCTTCAGAAAAGGAGGTCTGTGCTGCAGGAACTTGACAAATAGAAGCTGGGATAGGGGCACTGGTGATCTGAGCTGGATACTGCGGCAGTGAGAGTAACCCGTAATCCAGGGGCTGAGATGGAGGGGGGTTGGTGGGCCTAGAGCTTCAACCCTATGATCTTAATCCTGTGGCTTCACTCTGAGATGACACTGTGTATTGCAAGATGTTGAGAGGGGGCTAAAGATCCCTTGGAACTGGCAAAATAGGTTCCACCTTTTGAAGCCAGCAACTCTCTCCAGGCCATGCCAGAGGCCCAGGCCAGTAGTAGAGTCCAGATGTGCCCACGAACCCTCTGCACCTCCACCTACCCCTGCCTTCGGTAAGAAATGCCCTCTCTCTTTCTCACCCTTTTGCCTCTTCCCTCCCCTCACCCCTTTTCTAACGGTATGGCTCCTATCAAAGGAGTCTCCTCCAAATGCCTCGTTCACCCTCCTGAGCCTGTACCGGAATCCTAGGAGCCCCCACCAAGTCCAGCCTCTGAGACACACCTCCTGCCCTGAAATCTCTCTTTCTCTCTTTCCTTCCCTTTCTTTATTCCTATAATTAGAGAAACTAGCGAATGTAGATCAAATACCATTCTCTTTTTTACCCCTAATCCCCAGTTGTTTTGCAAAGCTGAGGGGTATGGACAGGAAGGAGACCCAAAGCCTTAGGGTGCTCATAAAAATGCCCCACAGAGTGCAGCATCCACCGAAGACGGGTAGCTTGGGCAGCCATGAGCTGGGGGAGGGGCCTGGTGGTTGAGCCCGGGTCTGGATACAGGAGGGTAGGAGGAGTCTGAATCCCAGGAAATCCAGGCAAAAGAATATCTGACTCTTATGATGTGTCTACACAGGAAGGATCAACAATAAGGACATCTCTGGCAAAAGAAAAAGAGGGATTTAGGAAGGCAGCAAATAACGGGCCTTTAATTTATTCCCAGAGACACTCCAATTTGAGAGAGAAGGCACCTAGTTGGGTGGTATCTCTGCAGGTCCAGAGACTCAACGCAAACACTGGGGATGTTGCCAGAGAATGATGTTGCCTCCTCCTTATGACTGAAAAACAAATCTTTGGGTCTCCCGGCCAAAGAGGAGGTCATGGTTGGAACCGCGATCCCAACACTTAGGGCGCAGCTGAGCTCTCCATCTGGGTGAGGATTTGCTCTATGTTACAACTGTTTGTCCAGTTTAAGCCCCTAAACTACAATTTACTCTACTAACTTTAAGACAAAGCACTCCGTGTCTCTCGCCGGGTTTTGAGGAGCAAGAAAAGGGAAGAAATATCCAGATAATTTAGGTAGACAATAATTCTGCTGTTGCGCGCGTATAAGCTTATATTGCCCGAGTGAGTTCCATATTTGAACCTGGTTATTGTCGCAGTCATTCTGCTCCACTCTGACGTGCACAGACGAAACTGAGTATTTAAGGCCACTAAGCCGCTATCGAGCCGGCAGGAGATGGGTCTGGCAGTCTGGGTTCTGTGGATGCTAATGTAGCCGGAAATCCGGCGCGATCGATGGCTGAGACCCAGAGCTGAGCAGGGACCGCTGGCTCCGGTCCGCGAACAAGGCAAACTCCGGGGACTTTTGGTTCCGGCCAGGCCAGAGCCCCTGCCCACCCTCCCTGCTATATCCAGGAAAGCAGTAGCGGTTTTTCGGCCCCAGACCACGCGAGAAACGCACTCTGGAGCCGCCAGTCCTCCCTGCCCTGCACCTGGAGGCGCGGAAGGTTCCGGTGTAATTCAGCTGGAGGTGGAAGGCAGGCCGCGATTCCACAGCGCGCCTATGCCCAGCCTGTGGTCGGAACCGCCGCCCTTCTGCGTGTGCGTCGGTCGAGAAGGCGCTGCCGGTTTTCCGCGGAGAGGCCGTGGCCCGCGCCAGCTGCTGCTGGACTCCCCAGCTTCGCGCTCTGCTCCGCGCTGCAGCCTTGCGCGGTGCGCGCCGTTGCCACTCTAGCCGAGGCCCCGAAACAAAGACGCGCTGGCCACTGGTGGACGACGCGGGCGCCTGGGCCACTCCCTGACTCGCGCCTGGAGTGCTCAGCATCCCGGCCCTGTGGAGAAAGCTGTGAGACCTTGATCCAATTCCCCGACCGTCGTGGTCCCGGCTGCGGTCCTCTCCAGGGTCCAGGGAGAGGAAACCCGGCGCGCCCACAGCCCCGGCAGACCCGAGCAGCTCCCGCGCCCGACAGCGCCGGCAGCTCTGGTCTCCTCTGGAGGGCTGCTGTGCCCCCGCGAAGGACGAGATGACCCCTGCTGGCCAGAGCTGTGGAGACTGCCTCGCCGAGACCCGGACCTGTCCAGTCGCTCGTCCCTGAGCACCCTAGGCCAGGGGGGACGCCCTGTGAGTGTGAGAGACCTCCAAGAGCGGCCGGAGTCTGAGGCGCTGGCCGGGCTGCGGGAACTAGACCTTTATCCTAAGCTCCTTCCTTCTGCCGGGACTCGGTGTCCCCACAGCGGCTGCCCGCCCTCCTGCCCGGCTTCTCATCGCTAGAGGCTCTGCCCTGGAGGTTCCTAAGACCCGGGCCGCCCTCTGGAGACTGGCATAGGAGCCAAGAAACTGGCCTCGACAAGACCAAACATAGCTGGACCTTTAGCCAATCTAAACCAGCCCGTTGCCAGCAGGTGATTTCTCCTCTTCCAGCCAGAGCCGCTTAGGAGGCAAGTCTTCACTTTGTCAGTTTACCTGGCCCAGAGTGGAGAACTTCCTTCAAAGACAGGTCTGTGAGGATTGAACCCACCAACAGCCCTTGTTTGGGAAGCTCTCTGCAAAAGGTGCATCGTCCACATGCAGAGCATG